GCCTCGCTCAGCCAGTGAGCGGGAGCCGGTCTGTACATGGGATCCGAACCCTCGGACGGGAGCGCCGCCGCGCTTCCCAAGCGGCGCACTATCCAGTGCGCCACCGGGCCGGCCCTCCCTGCCTGATTTTTAATTGGATTGCTTATCATCTTATAGAGTTGTAAGAGTTCTTTATATATTCTGGATAGAAGTCTTGTCAGATATAGGTATTGTTAATACTTTGAATCAGTGGCTTGCCATTTCATTTTCTAAACTGTTGTTTGAAGAGCAGAAGTTTTTAATTTTGGTGAAGTACAAATTGTCAGTTTCTTTCTTCTTTGGTTGTTAACATGAGTTTTATGTCTGATCACAGGAAGAGGATTTGACAACTTGACTTCTGTCTATCTCGCACGGCATACTCCTACAGGAACACTGGTAACTATAAAAATTACAGATCTGGAAAACTGCACTGAAGAACGCCTGAAAGCTTTACAGGTAACAATATGAAGAATATTATACATTTAGTGTAATGTCTATTTGAGGAGATTTTGTCTTTAAGAATTTTTCCCCCAAAATTAATAGTTCTCTTAGGGAAAAATAGATTTCTTTCTTCTAATTAACATGCAGTTACAGAATTGGAAAGAATACTTGGAAGCCAGATGCATTACATAAAAGAAAAAATATATTCAAACTTTGGTAATTACTATTAATTCCTTCAAATGAATATCATATTCAAAGTGCTCGTCTGGAGATTTACTATACCTCTCTTCAGTCCAATCACAAATAGTCATCATAAAGGGAAATAGAAAAAAACAAAAGCAAACAGTTTCCTTTTCATCCAGTGAAGCAAAATTAACTTTTGAGTTGATAAATTTTAACAACTGCATTTCAGGTATATTATAATATAATTTTCCCTATCACTTGTCATTTTTGATATAAAGGGGAAAAGGATCTTGTTTTGATATTGTCCCAATTTTTTTTCTTTTCTTTTCTTTTTTTTTTTTTTTTGTCTTTTCTTTTTCCGTGTCCGGCAACGGATCGCAACCCTCAGTGTTGCCCCCGTACCGGACCGGGGACCGGCAACGGGATCGCAACCCTCGGTGTTACTTCCGCGCCTCGCTCAGCCAGTGAGCGGGAACCGGTCTGTATGTGGGATCCGAACCCTCGGGCGGGAGCGCCGCCGCGCTTCCCAAGCGGCGCACTATCCAATGCGCCACTGGGCCGGCCCCCAATTTTTAAAATATTTATATGTGTGCATGTAAATTGCACAGAACAAAAAGACTGGAAGAAACCATACCAAAATGTTAACAGTGCTTCTCTCTGTGATGTGGTGTTAGAAGTGAATTTTAAGGGTATGACCTCTGGAGTCAGACTAAGTTCACATCCCACTTCCACTTCTTGTGTTAACTATGTGCTTTTGGACAAATTTTCTAACTTATTTCTGAGTGTCATCTTCTGTAAAATGGTAATCATAATATCACATACTTCATGGAGTGGTTGTGAGATTTAAAGAGATGGAAGAACTAATAACAGTGCTTGGTACTAATAAGCTCCCTTGAGTATTAGCTGCCACTGTTGCTGTTATCTTAGTCGTAAGAAAAAAATGAGATTGTTTTTAAATGTCTTGTCTCTTATATGTTCATCCTAGAAAGCAGTCATTCTATCTCACTTTTTCCGGCACCCTAATATCACAACTTATTGGACAGTTTTCACTGTTGGCAGCTGGCTTTGGGTTATTTCTCCATTTATGGCCTATGGTAAGAAAACTGGTTTTACATAAAATAACTCATCGTTTAGCCTGGATGCTATAATTACAAAGATGAATGGGATTATAGTTTATGATTCACTACTTCTATTTACTTTTTTTGGTGGTCGGCTGTTACCAGGATCCGAACGCTTGACCTTGGTGGTGTCAGCAGCACACTCTCCCAGCTCCGGCCAGCGCATGATTTACTACTTTTTTTTTTTTCCTTTTTTCGTGACCGGCAACGGATCGCAACCCTCAGTGTCGCGCCCGTACCGGACCGGGACCGGCAACGGGATCGCAACCCTCGGTGTTGCGCCCGCACCCCGCTCAGCCAGTGAGCGGCTGGTCTGTATGTGGGATCCGAACCCTCGGCGGGAGCGCCGCCGCACTCCCAAGCGGCGCACTGTAGCAGTGCACCACTGGCCGGCCCATGATTTACTACTTTTAATTTATAAATCTAACGGCCGATTCTAGATTTCATGATATATTTCTATATCTGGTTCATGTTGAATTTTAGTCTTCAGAAAAAGTAAAATGGGTATGATGATCATTGAAAACACTACTGCTTCTCCAAGAGTTCCATGCCTTTGGAAGTTTCCTCTTCCCTTCAAGTTTCCTTTTCCTCCCTCGGTGGAGAGCTATTATTATTTTGCAGGCAGAAGCAGTTTTTCCACCTGTGCACACCATCCCTGTCCCCGTTAAACTGCACCGTAAACTTATTTCACTGTACTGTAAACATCTGTGTGCACATCCCTCGCCCTCACTGGACTTGTGCTTCTTGAGGGCAGAGATCATTTATATGTTCTTCATTTTGGTGTCCCCAGGTGCTTACATAGTACTTAGCACAAAGTAGTGGTCAGTCAGTGTGCCGAATAAATAGTGGATTCTAGAGCTTTGATTTTTAGGACACCTTTTGTGAATTGCTTCTGGATTAAAAAAATATGTACACACACATACATACCCAGTATATTTTTACTCAGTAATATTGAAAAATGTTTATTCTCTTTCCTAGTCTTTGGTGTCTTTAGAAAAAACTCTTTTAAAGATTCTTGAAAGAAAATCACCTTTGCATGGGAAAGTGGTGAGACTCCAAAAAGTAACAGATGAGTTCATATTTATGGTTGAAAAGAACATTTAAAACATAACTGGAAGCAAAATCACTTTTAGTGTTCATCTAAAGATTTCAAGGCTTTCTTTCAGGTTCAGCAAGTCAACTCTTGAGTACCTACTTTCCTGAAGGAATGAGTGAAACGTTAATAAGAAACATTCTTTTTGGAGCAGTAAGAGGGTTGAACTATCTGCACCAAAATGGCTGTATTCATAGGTATTTACTTATTTGTATTTTACAGAACAAAAGAATTTTAATGGAAATCTTTTAGGGAGCATTTAGGAAGGAGCAGTTTATGTGATAGAAGGAAGGGATAGGGAACTTATAAATGAAAATTGAAGGAGGAAGGGGCCAATAGTTATGGTGGATGCTTACATTTTATGTCCATTCACCAAAAATGTTTAGACCACATCATCTGTGCCAAGCATTGTGCTTGGTGCTGGGGTAGAGCACCTGCCCTCATGGAGCTCAGTCTCAGTCTAAGGACGGATATAAGAACCTATATGTTCGGGGTAAAAGCTGTAGGGAATGGGATGCTAGTTAGCTGGGGTTTTTTTGTATTTTGGTGGGTGTTTTTTTTCGTTTGTATTTTCAAGCAAATAAAGAGCTTCTTTATCTGCTTTTTAGCTTATATCATTTATATTTTTATCATATATATGATACATTTATGTATATGATATATTTATATCATATTTATATCATATTGTACAAATTGTAATTAAACCTTTCTTTATTTCTTAAATATTATGCAGCACCCTGAGATTATTACACTTAATAACAGTTCTCTTGTTACCAAATTGTAGAAGTAATTAGCTGAATGCTAACAACAGTGCTGTTCTAAGATATACTGAGACCTTGTTTAGCTTTTTCATTAAGTTACTTTTAAATAAGCTGGCTACTTTATTGTTTATTTCAATCTCCTTAAAGCTTTTTGTCTTACTATTTGTAGTTTTTTAGCAGCATTCTGGTTACCTGAGGATTTCTAACAGACTGTATTCTAATTAATTAAGGTTTTATTATACATTACCAGTCTATTGGCCATCCTTCTCTGTAAGTTTCCACATTCAGTGTTTTGGATGAAAAAAATAAGGTTATTTTATAGCTTATCTGACAATTAAAGGAAATTTTTATATAAGACATATCTTTACAAATGATGTTATACCAGGAGAGGCTTTTATTGGGTAGTATTACATTTAGCTTTAAATTATAACCTTATATTTCAAATATTACTTAATTAATTTTTTTAGGCCTCTCTTTAGGTATTCTGCACCAGCATCCTAAAGTAGGAAATTAATAATTTGATTCCATTCCTGTTTTGGAAAAAATATTATCAATTCCAAACATGTAACCTCCAGTTACATTTTTTCTTGTTCTAGTGCTATATTAAGTTGCTGAAAGAATTCCTGAATTCCTTGCACATTTTATGTGTATATAGCACTACATATCATACACTTATTTTATAAAGGGTATTTAACTTCCGAGAGAATACATGGATTTGTTCTGATCATCTTTTTATTCTTTCTCCATTGGCCGGTTTCCTAGTACTTAGGATTGTTTCTTTTTGTTCTAGGAGTATTAAAGCCAGTCATATCCTCATTTCTGGTGATGGCCTAGTGACCCTCTCTGGCCTGTCCCATCTGCATAGTTTGGTTAAGCACGGACAGAGGCATAGGGCTGTGTATGATTTCCCACAGTTCAGCACATCAGTGCAGCCGTGGCTGAGTCCAGAACTACTGAGACAGGTCAGGTGTGACCCTTGCATTGGGTTGTCTGCATCTCGAGTGTCTTATGAGTTTGACTAAAGGACAGTTGTGTCCTTATATTTGGATTGGTGAATGGCCTATTGCAAGACTTTTTTTCTCTTTCTTGTCAAAATTATCTTAGGAATTTTGAATTGTATACCACATATTAGGCATATCTTGATTTCTCACTTGTGGGTTTTTTTCCCATTTTTGTTCACCATCCTTTATCAAAAGAGCACATGTATGTAACTTTTTGTGAAGTTATTTGTACTAAAAGACTTCACATTAATTGTGTTTTACAGGATTTACATGGATATAATGTGAAGTCAGATATTTACAGTGTTGGGATTACAGCATGCGAATTAGCCAGTGGGCAGGTACCTTACCAGGACATGCACAGAACTCAGGTAAGTGCTACTATATCCCTGAACTGTTGCCTTTCAGAAGATCTCTTACATTGTAGATAATTTCTGTTAAATATATTGTTTTAGACTCTTAGAAGCTTTATTGTTATTATTGTTGTTTTAATATTTTGCCTGAAAAGGATTGAAGGAAATTTTTCTTTCTTTTAGATGCTGTTACAAAAACTGAAGGGTCCTCCTTATAGCCCATTAGATATTAGTATTTTCCCTCAATCAGAATCCAGAATGAAAAATTCCCGATCAGGTGTAGACTCTGGGATTGGAGAAAGTGTACTTGTCTCCAGTGGAACTCACACAGTAAATAGTGACCGATTGCACACGCCATCTTCAAAAACCTTCTCTCCTGCCTTTTTCAGCATGGTACAGCTCTGTTTGCAACAAGATCCTGAGAAAAGGTAATGTTGGTCACTTCTAAGTAGCACAAGACATACATATTTTATATTTTTTTAGAAGCTTTTTAATATTGCCCTTCACATAAAATTTGTCTCTTAACATTTTGATATAAAAATTGTAGTCTAATCTATATTAATCAATGCTAAGAACAAGTAGAAGCAGTAAGCAAATGGGAAGAATGCTAGATTCAAAATCACAAGAGTTTGGCTCCAGTCTCAGCCATACCATTTCCTTGCCAAGTCACCTTATAAAAACCAGTCACTCTTTCTGGACATTAATTACTGCATTTATGTTCAGACATTTTAGAAATTTCCAAGCAGTATAAATATGTAAGTTACTCTTTCTGGACATTAATTACTGCATTTATGTTAAGACATTTTAGAAATTTCCAAGCAGTATAAATATGTAAGTTGCTGCTATTATACTAATACCAGTTATTATCATGGGTAACTATAGATTAGCATTAGTATTTTGGAAACAAGTTGTGTGTGTCTTATTTACCCTTTTTTTAGCCCCTTAGTGCCTAGCTTACTTCCTTATAAATAGTATGTGTCCAGTAAATGTTGAGTGTGGGTTTATTGAAGGATACCTCTAGAATTAATTCCTTCCATTAGTGAAAATTGGAGCTAAAAATTGGGTAATTCCTTCCATTAGTGAAAATTGGAGCTAAAAATTGGGCTTCTGGTATGTTTTTTTTTTTTTTTTTTTTTTTTTTTTCCTTTTTTTTTTTTTTTTTTTTGGCAGCTGGCTGGGATGGGTCTTTTTAATTTTTTAGTTTTGGGTTTTATAGCTCCAACCCTAATTTCTAATATACCCATACACCTAAAATTTACATTCTGACATTCTGTATTTTTATAACTTTTTTTTTTCAGGCCATCAGCAAGCAGTTTATTGTCCCATGTGTTCTTCAAACAGGTGAGCTGATCTGTTGTGTGTTGTCTTGATGTTGTTAAGTACTATTAAAAAGTCACTTCAGGGCCGGCCCGGTGGTGCACTCGGTAGAGTGCGGCGCTTGGGAGCGCGGCGGCGCTCCTGCTGAGGGTTCGGATCCCATATAGAGACCGGTCCGCTCACTGGTTGAGCGTGGTGCGGGTGCGACACCGAGGGTTGCGATCCCGTTGCAGGTCGCGGTATGGGTGCGACACCGAGGGTTGCGATCCCGTTACTGGTCATGAAAAAAGACAAAAAGGAAAAAAAAAAAAGTCACTTCATTTGGTTGGCTTAATGGGATAATTTGGTTACCAAGATTCTTATTAATAACTTTCTTACAAAATAAAGTTTAAAACAAGGAAACAGTTTTGGTGGTTCAATTGTAGACTTTCAAAAATGTTTCAATTTTGCAAAACAAAATGAGTAAAAACAAAGTGGACTACCATCATATGTTACTATGCTCAGTGTATATTTTGATTAATTTAGGGACATTTTCTGTTTCTGTATTGGCTAGAAATGATGAAGGGGCAAAATAATTCTGACCAAAAGCAGTTTATTTGGCTCTTACTTCCTTCTGTTTTCAGATGACCAGAATCAAAGTCATTTTTAGGGAAAATACCTAAAAACAATTTTAAATATTTTTAACATGGTTTCTTTAAAAGTTATTTATTGGTAACAAAACTGATGTGTTGAATTTATGTACCAACAAGCTTACTTTGAGTTTCTTTAACAGATGAAAGAAAAAAGCCAAGATTCAATACTTTCACTGTTGCCTCCTGCTTATAACAAGCCATCAATAGCACTGCCTTCAGTGTTACCTTGGACTGAGCTGGAATGTGATTTTCCTGATGAAAAAGACTCAAACTGGGAATTCTAGGGCTGCCAAATCATTTTATGTCCTATATACTTGACACTTCCTTCTTGCTGCTTTTTCTTCTGTATTGCTAGGTACAAACACCAGAATTATACTTGAAAATACAGTTGGTGCACTGGAGAATCTGTCATTTAAAACCACTCTATTCGAAGGGGCATGAGATTATAGTCCCTCTGGTTACCTCAGAGTGCTCTCACAACTACAGGGAGACGACAGAATTATTAATCTGGCTACAGTTAGTGTCATCTATTCTTGAATTTTTTTCCCAAGCTGTGACTAACTCTTCCCTTTATCTGTCACTATAATTTTTGAGCCATTTAATTTTTTTTTTTTTTTTTTTTTTTTGGTATTTTACTGTCCTCTTGGGAATGAGCCCGCAGAGGACAGTGCTTCTTTTTTATTTTTTTGTCCTTTTTGAGACCGGCCACATCACGCTCAGCCAGTGAGCGCACCGGTCATCCCTATATAGGATCCGAACCCGCGGCGGGAGCGCTGCTGCACTCCCAGTGCCGCACTCTCCCGAGTGCGCCACGGGCTCGGCCCAGGACAGTGCTTCTAAGTATGTCTTTTTCTTCCAGATTTTCTAGACTTTTTGATCAGCTATTATTAGCCCAACAGGCTAGTTTATCCTGGTACCAAACCCTTTTTTGGTAGAAGGGAAAATGTTTAAACTTTCCTTTTTTCTTCTGTTAATACTTATGGTAACATCAAACTGAGCTTCACTTACATTAAATGATTCACTTGAAATACATAGGGAAGTTGTAATTTGCTTTTTTTAAAAGGGGGCTAAAGTAACACTTTTCTACCTGTGTGAATTATAGATCCTAAATTCATGCACTCCGTAGGAGCTCAATAAACATTTACTGAATTGTGTTTATGCTTTTATTTATTTTCCTTGAGTGGTTTGACAGAGCTAAAACAAAGATTCTAATTTGTTTTGCCAAGAAAAGCCCTTTCTCATTTATTTACATAACCTAGTGAATTGGGGACAACCGGGTATTTGACCTGACAGTGGAAGCAGAAGTTTTACTGGCCCTTTATATGATTATTGCTTCTGTAGGGAGTACAACATATAAGGACATAGAGGTCTTAATGGTATTATTAGCGAAATAGAGATGCTGTGTCTCAATAAGATTAAGTAGGTGGAGCTGTGGTAAATTGGGACCTACCTCAGTTGATTTTTTTAATCTATACAATCTTATTTACATTACATTAAAAGTTATTTTTAAATGATTGTCTTAAGACTAAAAAAATTAAAACCAAAAAGACAATACACAAATTATAGGCAATTTGAAACACAATCCTTTTCATATTTATTGGATAGACACCCTAAAGAATGAAGGTTTGGCTTACTCCATCAATTAAACCATCAAAACCTGCTAAGGTAAAAGCTGAAGATGAGAGAATTTAGAATGGATAGTGCCGGAGGGAGAGGATGAGGACCAGTTGAGGCCCTGAGAGCAACTGCAGTGGTGGGGGCTGTAATTTATCCCACTAACGTCTCCCTCTAAATTTCCCCTCAGCAAGAGTCCCACAGGATTCTCCTGAATGTGTTTACTGCAGAAGGTGGACCATGGAGGCCTCTGTGCCTCTCACATTTCCTACTGTGGATGTATTAGGGTTCTCCAGAGAAACAGAACCAATAGAATGTGTATGTATATGTATATGTAATCTAAATGTATATTACATATATACATACATAAACAGATTTATCATAAGGAATTGGCTCATGTGACTGTGGAAGCTGACAAGTCCCAAGATCTGCCGGGTGAGTCAGCAAGCTGGAGACCCGGAGAGCCGATCGTGTAGTTCTAGTCCAAAGGCCTTCAGGCTCAAGACCCAGAAAAAATCAGTGTTTCAGTTTGACTCCACAGGCATGGAAAAGCCGATGTCCCAGTTCAAAGGCAGTGAAGCAAGAGGAATTCTTGTGGGAGGTTCAGCCTTTTCTATTCAGCTCTTCAACTGACTGGATGAGGTCAACCCGCATTGGGGGAGGGGGCAACCTGCTGTAGTTAGTCTACCAATTTAAATGTTTATCTCTTCCAGAAACATCCTCACAGAAACAAACAGAATGTTTGACCAAATATCTGGGTACCCCATGGCTCAGTACAATTGACATAAAATTAACCATCACAGTTTATATTGTAATTGAACGATAGCCTCACCCTGTAAGTGCATTCTTAAGTTTTGCGCTAGTTTTTAATTTTTGTATTAGCTTTTAAATTTTGTGTTAGTTTTCTATATTATTTTACAGTTCTATAGTTCAGAAGTCTGAAATGTGTCTCTTTGGGCTAAAATCAAGATGCTGGCAGGGCTGCTTTCTTTCTGGAGTCTCTAGAGAGAAATCAGTTTCACTGCGTTTTCCAGCTTTTAGAGGGTATCCACATTCCTTGACTCATGACCCTCTTTGTCCACCTTCAATGTCAGCAATATTGGGCTGAGTCCTTCTCACATTGCCATTTCGCTGGTTCTCTCTTCTGATTCCCTTTTCTACTTTTTAAGGACCCTTGTGATTCCATTGGGCATAGTCAGATAATCCAGGATAATCTCCTGTCTATGGTCAGTTGATTAGCAGCCTTAATTCCCCTGAGCCATGTAATCTAACATTCAGAGGTTCTGGGTTTAGGATGTAGGCATCTTTCATGAGACATTATTCTGCCTACCATACTTGCAGCAAGGACGTCAAGTCAGGCCCACTCGGGAAACAAAGCCTTTTTGAGATGAATGGCTTTCGCTGGAGGATTCCCCATCAACCCTGCTGAAGATTACTTAGAATGATGTTGTGGTCTAAGACATTTTCTATCCCATCTTTTCTTCCCTCCCTCTCTTCTAGGGTGGTCAGACCTACATCATGGTTGACAGCTCTTCCAGCTATCTCCAACTCCCTATTTTCCTTTGCAGGCTCCCGTCTAACCTCCCAAAATCTTTTGTGTGTGGTATTGGTTTCCTATTGTTGCTGTAACAAATTGCCACAAACTTAGTGGATTAAAACAACACAAATTTATTATCTTACAGTTCTGGATGTCAGAAGTTGAAAATGGGTTGGCAGGCTACATTCCTTCTGAAGGCTCAAGGGCAGATCTGTTGACTTTTCTAGCTTCTAGAGGCTTCCTGCCTTTTTTTGCCTCATGGCACAGCATTATTCCAACTTCTGCCTCTGTGGTCATGCCTCCTTCTCTCACTCTGACCTTTCTGCCTCCTTCTCCTAAGGACCTCTGTGATTATATCATGCCCACCCAGATCATGCAGGATAATCTCCGTATCTCAAGATCCTTCACTTAATCACAGTTGTAAAGTTACATTCACCATGTGAGGTAACATTCACAGCTTCCTAGGATTAGAATATGGACATATTTGGGCAGCCATTATTCTGACAACCACACATGTCTAATCTCATTTTGGTGTCTGCTTTTTGAAGGACCCAAACTAACATAGTCACTGTAGCTAAAATGCCCTCCTATGAGCTTCTACAGTACTCTTCCCTGAAAGCACTTACACAACTCTATCATAATTGCTTCTGTGTTTATGTCCCAATAGTATGTGGACTCAAGAATATTGTCTTAATAGTATATTCCTAGTGTTTAGCAAAAATGTCTGGCATATTGTAAATGTTTAATAAACATTTAAGAAATTCTTCCTTGAATAAAGTTTATGAGCTTAAAAAAAAGACTAGAAAAGAAAATTTGAGAGATTTTTATGGTAAGAAATTTTTAATTCCTTGAGTGTTACAATATTGCCATTAAAAATTTAATGAGATGTAGGGATTTGAGATTTCTATCTAGTGAATATTTCCTCCTTTACTGCAAGCTAGATCAGTAGATTTCCTCATAATTACTATTGGTAAATTGCCTATTAGCTTTCAAACCCATTTCTCCACTCTCCCCTGCTCTGCTTCACTGGGAACTACATTTCCTATGCACCCTCATTCTTTGGTTTCCAGGGAGGCAATAGTGGAAGATCAGAGAGCAGAGAGAGAGAGAAGAAACATGGTATTTTTCACACTTTGCTGTATTCCCCTGTTTCTTCTGGTGTCCCCGGCAGTGGCTATATCATATTTGTCTTCCAGCTTTAAGGCTTTAGTAACACCACTTCCTCCTGCTCTCTCTTCCATCTGAGTGGTGATGGCACTTCCTGCTCTTGCTAATCTCTGGATTGCCTCACCATCCCTTTTGGCTTCTTAGCCTTGGTTCTGTCACTCATAAAACCAACTCCCTGTGTTGCTTCTGCCTGAAAGATCTGGAGTCGTTTGTGTTTTCCCAGTTACACCCTGACTGATACAAGTACTCACAACTTTGAGGATCACTGAAAATTCTTGGTCCCCATAAAGAATTTCCACCCTGATTATAATATTGAATAAATGATCAGTAATTATGTTTTCCATCAGCCAATTCTATTTAAATCTCATGGTCTTTATGATTTATGATAGAAAAATTAAAACTGACAAAATTCTATAAATTGAAGTTATTGCTTTTCAAGAGTGGACCAAAGTTCAAGATCCAAATACTGTACTTTGTAGAAATAGAACCAATTCTTGGAAGTCTCTGATTTTAATCCTATGTTGAGCTAGCTAGATAGATTATATTTTATGCAGTTTCTACAACTTTATACAGTTTCCTGATTTTGGTGTTATTAAAAATGTCCTTTCACAGTTTTTTGAGTAATTTAGAAAGTCAATCTAGCATAGGAGATGTCTCAGGAATTAGTACTTAATCTGTTCTTTATATCAGATGCTGTTAAAATTAATATTCTGTAGGCCCAGATAATTGCAGATTGTTGAATCTAGAAAAAAATATAACTAGAGCTAAAGAGTAAACGTGTATTCTTAACAAAAGACTAAGTATAGATTATTGCAAATGGAGAACCTGAAATCTGGGAGGACAGGGTTAATTTAAGAGCATAGCAAAGATTGGGGAAGTCAGAAAAACATAATTTGGAGTGATACTGTTACATAGTAAAAAGGGGGAAAAGCTGAGAAACAAAACCTTGGCAATGAATATAAACTAAATATGTATTTCCATGTTTGTTCCCTAAGGTTCATAAACAAAAACACATTAACATCAGATATGTTTTTCATTTTAATCAAAACAAAATGGTTCTAACAAGATGAAATTTTGTTGCTGACTTCTGTCACACACACAAGGACAGATCTCCAAACCATTTTGTTAATGGAGAAATGACACTCTGATTATTGGCTTCACATTCTACTCTGAGCTGTTTAACATTTGGATAATATCACAAATGAGTGAACATTTTTCAACATCTTTTAATATTTTTTTTGGCTGCATTTTACGCATTTCATAATCTGAGGTTTTATCATTTATATGAACTAAGCCTGCTGAAACCATTTGAGGATTTGCACATTTTCCAGTGTAGCTTTCTTGTCGTTTGTTAACCTCTGGAGCAGTATATGGTCTTGCAGAGTGTTTTGCCTGATTATGGCTATCATCTGGGTTCTTTCCTAAAAGTCTTGCTCTTGATTTTGCTTTTTGAAGATGCTTAAATGAGGTCACTTGTAACTCCTCAAATTTATCTGAACAATCCTAAAAATTAAAATAAAAGATCAGACTGGTAAGTTAGGTTTCTTAAAAGTACATTTTAAGTTTACAAGAACTAAAGTTTGTAGTATGAACAGTTAAAGAATAAAAGCTGGAATGTTTCTTAGGCAGTCCCCAAATTCGGACCCTATACCCAATGCCTCCAGTTAGATACTACCTTAGAAACAATGCTTTTAAAAAATCTTATTGTTTTAAAGGTTCTGTTATGTTAATAGGGATGAATGATATGAAGCTGGAAACCACAAAAACTTAAGGGAGCTGTCCTCAGGGGTCAGACTCCTAAACGAAGCTGGCCAGCCTACATTGTAATTTTTTTCCACCAAAATATCTCTCCCCTGACCCTAAGTATAAATTATAAACTCTTAAATTTTACCTTTTATATCATCCAAACTTTGATTTTCATTCTTTAAAAGTTAATTTAGTAAATACATTTTTAGTATATATACATATATCTCTATTTGTCTATCCATAATATATGTATAGAGAGAGCAGCAGCAGCATCTGAAAATATGGTTGCAGTGTTTACATTAAAAATAATAAATTTTTTTATGTGCGCTCTGACAGCAAGTAAAACATTCCAGGAAAATAATCGGAATATACATCAAAATATTTTTTTTAAATGATGGGTTTTTTTTTTCAAATATTTTATGATATGGCTATATTCTATAATAAAAATATACTCATCTACAAATACCCCTAAAAGGGTATGGAGCTATTAGTCCTTTCTCAAGTTAGTATAAGCCAGTTTCCTTAGCAGTTTGAGTAGGTCGTCCCTTAACACCTCGTAGAGATAGCCGCACCAAGAGAATGGGCTGCTTTGATTTAGAAACAAAGTAGGAGTGGGTTAATAGAGTTGCAGTGTTGGGGAAGGTTGGGCAGGAATGATAAGAATTAGGGCAGGCAGAAAGAAAACTTACAAAAAAGAAGGTACGAAGAGTATAAAGACAAATCCTGCCTACTTTTAATTTTTGCCTGGGTTTGGAGAAGGCAAAGAAACATTCTTCCTCTTCTCTCTTATGTACATGGAACAATTAGGTAAGCCACAGTATTAAGAGAACTTCTGTTACATGAGTGAGTAGCATACGTATACTTTTTGCCTCACAGCTGACAACTGATGGCTGGAGTGCCAGTGTAGGGGCGTGGAGACCCATGCCACTGATTACTCTTATGGGTGCTCCTGCAACTCAACTTCTCTCTCTTCTGTTTTGATTCCTTTGGGAAATTCCTGGGTTTTAGAAAATCAGATGAATAGGTCTTTCTAATCATATGACAAATGCCCTCTTATCACTCAATTCTCAGTTGTCAATTTTACTAGCGAGAAAAATTTAGAAACACTTGATTTAATAGAGGGAAATAAAGATAATTATCTTCCCTACCTGCTCTTAGGATAAGAATTCTGACATTTTATATGATCTTATACCATTTAACATAAACACAATTTGTTTGGAAAGGTGATATTAAAGATTCCATTTTTCTAAAGGAACTTCAGAAAGTTTTTCCTCTCCAAAAACTGTGAACTCATCTTCTACTTCTATTTCCTAGTGTGTACACACAAATGCATGCACAAGTATACACACATGCTCACTCACTACTAAATTACTGAACTTAGATAGAAAAATCCAAAATGGAGAGTAAAAGCTATACTGATATTTACCCTGCCACTGTATAACTAATATAATATTTACCTGTATAATATATAGCTATATAATATTTGCCCTGCCACTATAAAGCCAGTAATTTGCTTTACTGTGGAAAACAAATTCAAAGCAACTATTCTGAAATTAGATTACTTTCTCATTCAAAGGTAGAATTGGGCACATCAAGTTATCAAATAATATCAGTTTTAGAACTTGTGAGTTTTCCCAATTATGGATTATGCCTGTTATGCATACTAACAGAGAAGGGCAGTGGTCTAGAAATTTGAAATAAGTCCCTTTCATTCCTCGATTTTAACATTGTCTTAGAGTGGTTTGTATCAAGTCTAGTAGCAGATTTACCTTCCAAATTGTCTTATGTTAATATTAAAAATAGATTTGAATTCCCAAGCTTCTCAACACATGATATAGCAGAGGGGTGGTGATGAAATAAAAGTAGAAGTAAAATTAAAATTTTGCAATTCATAATCCAATAGACTAAATTTTGCATATCCTTAATTATTAGCAGAATACTGGCACATAGAAGGAGATTCATATTTGTTTACTGAAACAAAGATAATTCAGCTAAAAAAGTCTATATATTTATAGTTATATCTCTGTGAAAAGAAACTCTCAGCTGTGTTTCCACAGTATATGGTCACTGCCAATAGTCATTACAGGTTGCATCTCACAACAGTCCCTGGCTAATTTTAGTCAAGGCTAAAATCCAGCCAGTTTTCTATGGGCAGGGCTATGTGCCCTGGCCCTAGGCTGTGTCAGCCTGGAGGGTCACGCTCAGAGGAAAGGGTGCCTTTTTCTAATTTATGCCCCAGAGAGGGTGCCATTTACCTATTTTATACAAAGGCACTAGCTGTGTTAACAGTCCCCCTGATTTTGTGATTATATTTTGAGTCAGATGAGGTGACATTTGAATTTCAGTTTTTTTTTTTTTTTTTTTTTTAATTTGGAGGTTAGTATATCTTGGGGCAATTAAGGTTACATACACGCTTGCATGCAGAGATATATACCCTAAATTATTTACAGAACTTTGCCAAATACAGAAGTAGAAGACTTAGAAAAACATTATTACATGTATAGTTCTTCTTGCAGTCCAATGAAGCAATGTTCTTGGAACCGATTTCCTTAGATGAATTCTTGTGGTGGGTAGTGGGGTTGGTACCATCCTAACTGCCTTGTTAAATGACTTTTTTGGTTTGGCAACATGGTCTCTTTCTTTTCGGACCTTGGGTGTTAGATTTTCTCTCTTCAATACTTCTGGGAAGAGGGATGGTTTTGAGTTTTTCTCATCTTCTACAACTTTATATTGAAATGATTGTGATTCAGGGAAGTTGGCACATTTTTCGTTGCAAATTTCATTTGGTTTTATATAAAGAAACTGTATTTCTTGTTTGCATTGCGCAAATGTTACTAAACGTTTTTTATTATTGTTATTATTTCCTTTTAATCTCTGAAAATACTGGTCTTCTAGTTTTGATTTCTCCCGAGTCTCTGAATTGAAATGAGTGTTGGTGTGCCAGGAAGGGAAAGTGAGTCTGTTTAAATATTCTTCATCTCCCCTTGGCATTCTGCAATTAGGGATTCTTGGATACAGTGACAATACTGCTTCAGGTTTTTCTTGATTAGTCAATTCATAGATGTTAATATGGTCCTTTTTTCCAAGGGGCTTCATTTTCAGTGTCCTTTCAAAGCAAGCTTTTGACTGAGTTATTTTCGATTTACCACTCCAATTATATGGGTCTTGAACCTCTGCTTTACAAACAGAATTTTCTGCTTGGGGAAGCTGCATGAAACCATGTTCTTTCTTTTGTTTCTTAAGCACTATTTCTGTAAGTCTTTCTGATGACTTATTTAATGGAATTGCCTGTATATTTTTGTTGGAAGAAGGTTGTACTTTTATTAAACTTAGTGTTTTAGCTCCTTCATTAGGGTGATAACTTTTCTTTTCCCTAATTGTTGATGAATTTTCTTTTAAATTGTGTAAGTGAAAATATTCCTTTTCTTCCTTTCTGATCAATTCTGTTTCAATAAGTTTATCTTCAGTAACATTTTGCAAAGTGTTTTTTTGAACATTTTTTGAATATTTATTTTGCTTTTCTGAATGCTCCTCCATAAAGTGATTTTCATCTCTAAAAGGCAAATCTGTCGTTATATATTTTAATGGTGTCAAACTTGAATTAAGCAGATTTATATGCTGGTAGATCCCCTCTAATTGCCTTTCTGTTACTTGTCCTGATTTTGCAAGTTTTTCTATAAAAAGGCTCTGGAGGTGTTTGCTTAAGTCAGCTTTTAGATTTAACAATTCATTTTCTGATAAAGCTATAAGATAGTTTTGTAGAGGTTTATTTAAAGGATATTTCATGTTTATTTCAAGCCTTCTACCAAAACTTCCCTTTGAAATATCTTGTCCTACCTCATGAAAAGATATTGAGGAACTTTCAGTTCTTAAAGAAGATATGTCCGAGTGTATAGTCTCATGTTCTGTCTCGTTAAATAAACTGCTTTCTGAAAGGTTTTTTAGGAAATAGTTTTGGAGGATTTCATTTAAAAAGGATCTTAGCTTTATTTCTAAATGTTTATCTATAAAATGATGATTAAAATTGTTTACAAACATCATGATTTCTTTTACAGTTTCAGAATATTTCTCCTGAAAAATGTTTTGCCCTTTTGGTTCTGCTTTCTCATTCATCAAATGCAGATTTTGATAGATTTTTGGTAAGTCCTCCTTGGTGATATGTCCTGATTCTGAAAGTCTTTCTACAAGGTAATGCTGGATTTGTTTACTTAATTCAGATTTTAAATTTTTTACTTCTGACTCTGAGAGTTCTTCCAGAAACACACGCAGTTTTGGACTCAAAACAGGTTTTCTGTCTAATTTGTCTGTTTTATCAAAGTTCCCTTGGATTTCTTCAAGGTGTTCTGTATCACTTGGAAAAGAATGTTCAATTAGTCTTTCTAATTCTTTTTCTGGTTGTCTTTTCCTTTCAGACGGATTATACTTGAAAAAAACCTTAAAGATGTTTTTTAAAAAGGATTTTAACATTATTGTATCTGACTCATTAAGGCTATCCATTAATGAGCTACTTAAATTTTCTAAAGTAGAACTTAGATCATTTTCTTTTCTATCAAGCCTCTGACAATTACTTGGAAAATACGGTTTTTTATCTGGTACTGAATGATATTTTAAATCTTGTGGGGACATATTTTGGCCTTCCTCTATAAATTTAATTCTATTGATAGAAGAAGTGGTTTCTTTGGGAATGATGGGTATCGTCTTCTCTGAAAGGGGTTTTGTTTTGCTTTTGATTTCTGAATAATCCTTTGTGGAATCCTTTGGCTTTTCTTCAGGAAAGACTATCTCCATACCCAGCAAAGAACTCTCCTGGTGTTCTTTATCTAATTCTATCACTTTGACTATCCCAGATTCTAAAAGAGTATCTATAGGGAATGCTTGTATTATCTGACTTACAACAGATTTGGGCTGTAGAAATTCTATTTCATCATATTTTTCTTTATAGTGAACTGAAATATGTGAAGATAAATTTCTCTCCCAAGGTGTGGGTAATTGATCCTGAAAGTTCACCTGTGCCTTACTCAGCTCTTTCACTCCTATTTCCAACTCTGACAAGATCGGTGCAGTGAATATTTGTTTTATAACACAGTCATGTAAAAAGCCATTTACACCTGATTTGGAGCTAGGTACTTCATCTATTAAGTGTTTCTTTTTGAAGCTACTCTTTTTTTTCATTGGAAAATTTATCTCATCAGCCTCTAAGTGTTTTTCAGAGACACGTTCTTGTACCTCTGGAGATTCTTCTGGTCCACCTTCTGGAATTGAATCTGCAGGAATATTTTTAATTATTTGACTTAAAAGAGCCTTCGAATTTGAAATGTCTTTTTCTGAAAGCCAGCTGTTCAAATCTTGGATTTTTTCAAATACTTTGTCTTCCGTACCACTTGATGGTTTATCATGAATGCTTAGAGGTGGAGATCTACTTTTCTTTCTTGCTTCAGTGTTCATATAAACTTCTGGTTTAGAAAACAATTTGTCTGAAAGGTCTTGCAGATTTTTACTTAAAATTGACTTGAGTACCATTGATTGTTTTAAATTTTCTATATGGGGGTTAAGACTTAATGACTTTGAGAGGCGACATGTATCTGTATTTACATTTCCAGTCACTGATGATTCTCTTTCGAAGCAGCTTGGTAAAGATACACGTGGTAATCTTTCTTTTAACTTATTCTTAGTGTCTACAGTCTCTATTGTGTTGATAGTAGGATCACAGACTAACTTATTTTCAGTGTCTGAAGACTTTCTTCTGATGATATTAGAATCATGGGCCAAGTTTTTATTAGTAGGTCCTGTAGTTTTCGAATGTTCTGGGTAAGGTGGGTCTTGGTCTTCATACTCTATAACTTCTGCACTTAGAATATTTCTACTTTTGTATATATCTTGGTCTTTCCTTTTTCTGACTGACATTTTGTTGTTTGTATCCCTTAGAAAAGGATCAAAACTGTCCTTGAATTTCTGAAATTGCAATATTAAAAAAAGGTAAGAAATTCTGTAGCATTTATTTTGAATTTATAATAAATTTTCTACTTAATTTTCTATGAGCAATCTGTCAATTTATCTATTCATCCTCCTACCTTCTACAATGTAAGAAAACCAACTTTAATTATTTTAAAATATTTGAAATTGGAATGAAAATAAAATTTTAATGCAACATTTTTCAGATTCCTAATTCTGACACTCTTTTTTGTCCAAGTGCTTTTTGCTACCTGGACTTTTAAAATATTTAAAAGCCACCCATAGTTTCTTTTAACAACTCCATTTCCAGTGTTAAGTACATTTGCTTAGACAATGCCTAACATTAGGACTGAAGCCTTATTCATATATTTACATTTTAGTAGCAATGTAGAAATTTTTTTAAAAAATGCAAGCAAGTGGTAGCTGTCTCATGAAAAGTACCATAAATATTCTCTAAAGACTGATTTGGGGGCATATATCATCTGCCTTCAAGTCTGTGAGTTTCAAAAATGATGATGAGCTCCTCTCTGCCCTTAACACGTCACAGCGGAATCTTGCTTTTTTTTTTTTGGTGCATATTGTGTATGCCTCAGAAATGGTTAAGAGAGAACAGTATAAAAAACTCTGGATTACAGTGAAATATTTCAGTGTAATATCCATAGGCATTAGTTTCATAGCTCCAGGGTCAGACTATTCTATCATTGAAACAGGCTTCAAAATGAAGGCTGATTATTCAAACACTTTGTACATACAACTTCTACGTTATTCAGTTGAAAAAGACAGAATGTGAAATAATCAGCCTAAAATTTGTTTCATTTTATTTCAATTTAGTAGTTCAAAGTTCATTTTAATGGATAGAATTGATTGTAACTGGTTTTCAAATTCTAGTGGTCTTAAATCTGTCTAGGTGACAGATTAAAAATCGCCTGGGTTTTTTTTTTTTTTTTTTTTTTTTTTGAGAAAAATAGATTCCCAGCTTCCGTTTCCAGATTGAGATTCATTAGGTTGGAGGTGCACCTGGGAATATGTTTTTTTTTTTTTTTTTTAAAGGTAGGTGTTTCTAGTGAGTAGCATGGTTTTGGAACCATTGAATTACATAAAGTATTAGAGAAACCTACTAATAAAGTACAATTGATATTGGGATAGGATAACTTAGGACTCACCTTATATTTCGGTCCGAATTTTATATATTCTGGTTTAAAAGATGACGGATTGTATTCTTTAAGTGAAAAAGCAACCTTATAAAAAAAGAAGTTTTGATTTTAGACTACTCGTAATGCAAGGATATTTCCCAAGATCATTTTATTCTTCCAAGAGTTATTAAAGATATAAAAATGTTTAAAACCTAAAGAGGTAATTTTCTCATAACTACTATACTTTGCCAGTTATCAAAGAAATCTGTGTGTGTGTGTGTGTGTGTGTGTATATATATATATATATATAAAGTATATTAAAATAATAATTTGTTTGGTTTTGTAATATTCATCCTGTTGCATTTGTAAACTCAAAATAAAGCACAGCAACTTCAAGCAGACACAAAAGTAGAAATCCAAATGTAATTAGAACAAATTATTATTATTTGTTAGAACAAATGTAATCTTTTAAAAAAATTTTTTAACAGCTTTATTGAGATATAATTTACATACTATAAAGTTAACCCATTTAAGGTGTAAAAATCAATAGTTTTGTAAACTGTATTCACAACGTTATGCTCTAATTTTAGAGCATTTTGTTACCCCAAAAAGAAACATTATACCCACTGGCAGTCACTCCCCACCCATCCCAACACCCCAGCCATATGCAACCAGTAATACTTTCTGTCTCTATAGATTTACCTCTTCTGGACACTTTGTATGAAGGGGATCATACAATATGTAGTTTTGCTGTGCCTGGCTTCTTTTACTTACAATGTTTTCTAGATTCATCCATGTTTTAGCATATATCAGTACTTCTTTACTTTTTATGGCTAAATAATATCACATTGGATGGATATACCACATTTTGTTTATACATTTATCAATTGATAGATATTTGGGTTACTTCTAACTTTTGGCTATTTGCGTTTTTGTAAAAAGAAAATTATTTCTTTTTTAATTGAAACATTGATTATGCATATTTCTGGGGTACAGAGTTATATTTCAATACATGTATACAATGTGTCATAATCAAATCAGGATAATTAGAATATTCATCATCAAAAAGCTTTATTATTTCCTTGTGATGAGAATACTTGATCTCTTCTAGCCATTTCACAACAAAGAATAAATTATTGTTAATTATAGGTTCTTAGAACGTATTTTTCATATCTATCTGTAATTTTGTGTCCATTAACCAACTTCTTATACATTTTTACCCCTCCCCTTCCCAGCCTCTAGGCACCACAATTCTACTCTCTGCTTCTAAAAGTTCAACTTATTATTTTTTTTTAAACTCCTACATATGAGTGAGAACATGTTGTATTTATCTTTCTGTGCCTGACCTATTTCACTTAACATAATGTCTTCTAGGCTCATTCATATTGCTACAAATGACAGGATGTGATTTTTCATGGCTGAGTGGTATCCCATTGCGTATGTGTGTGTATATGTACATATATGTATATATATGTACATATACACACACACACATGCGCGTGCACACACACACACTCGTGTTTTATCTATATATATCTATATATCACATTTTCTTTATTCATGCATCTGTCAGTGGACACCTAGGTTGATTCCACATCTTGGCTATTGTGGATAGTGCTGTAATAAACATGGGAATGCAGATATCTCTTTGATATGCTAATTTCCTTTCCTTGGGATAAATAAACAGGAGTGGGATTACTGGATCATATGATAGTACTATTTGTAGTTTTTTGAGGAACCTTCATACTGTTTTCCATAATGGCTGTATTAATTTACATTACCACCAACAGCATTTAAGAGTTTCCTTTTCTCTTCATCCTGGCCAGCATTTGCTATTTTTTGACTTTTTGATAATAGCTATTCTAACTAGAGTGAGATGATATCTCATTGTGGTTTTGATTTGCTTTTCCCTGATGATTAGTGATGTTGAGCATTTTTTCATATACCTGATGGCCAATTGTATGTCTTCTGAGGAACGTCTATTTGGTTCATTTGCCCATTTTTTAATTGAGTTATTTGGTTTTTTTGCTGTTGAGTTGTTTAAATTGCTTGTATAGTCTGTATATTAATCCCTTGCTGGGTGAATAGTTTGCAAATATTTTCATTCTGCTGGTTGCCTCTTCACTCTGTTGATTGTGTCTTTTGCTGTGCAGAAGCTTTTCAGTTTAATACAACCCAATACGTCTATCTTTTCTTCTATTGCCTGTGCTTTTGAGGTCTTATTCATAAGGTCTTTTCCCAATCCTACATCCTGAAGTGTTTGCCTCTATTTTTTCTTCTAGGAGTTTTATACTTTCAGGTCTTATATTTAAGTCTTTAATACATTTTGAGTTATTTTGGTATATGCAGATCTAGTTTCATTCTTCTACATGAGGATATCCAGTTTTCTCAGCACCATTTATTGAAGAGGCTGTCCTTTCCCCAATGTATGTTTTTGGTACCTTTGTTGGACATCAGCTGGATGTAAGTACATAGATAGATTTCTGGGTTTTCTATTCTGTTCCATTGGTCTGTGTGTCTGTTTTTATACCAGTACCATGCTATTTTAGTTACTATACCCTTGTAGTATAATTTGAAGTCAGGTAGTGTTATGCCTCTGGCTTTATTTTTGTTGCCCAGGTTGATTTGGCTATTTGGGGTCTTTTTTTGTTCCATATGAATGTTAGGATTGTTCTCTCTATTTCTGTGAAGAATGTCATTGGTTTTTTAATGGGGATTGCACTGAATCTGTAGATTGCTTTCAGTAGTATGAACATTTTCACAACATTAATTCTTCTAATCCATGAACACTGGATGTCTTTACATCTTTTTGTGTCTTCTTTAATTTCTTTCAGCAGTGGTTTGTAGTTCTCATTGTAGAGATCTTTAACCTCCTTGGTTAAATTTATTCCTAGGTATTTTATTTTTTTGGTAGTTATTGTAAATGGGGTTGCTTTCTTGATTTCTCTTCTGCTAGTTCATTGTTGGAATATAAAAACACTACTGATTTTTTTTTTTTTTTTGTCTTTTTTTTTTTTCGTGACCGGCAACGGATCGCAACCCTCAGTGTCGCGCCCGTACCGGACCGGGACCGGCAACGGGATCGCAACCCTCGGTGTTGCTCCCGCACCTCGCTCAGCCAGTGAGCAGCCGGTCTGTATGTGGGATCCGAACCCTTGGTGGGAGCGCCTCCGCACTCCCAAGCGGCGCACTGTAGCAGTGAGCCACCGGGCCGGCCAGTATACTGATTTTGTACCCTGCAACTTTGCTGAATTTGTTTATCATTTCTAAGGGTTTCTTGGTAGGCTTTAGGTTTTTCTATATATAGGACCATGTCATCAGCAAACAGGGACAATTTGACTTCATCTTTTCCAAGTTGGATGCCCTTTCCTTCTTTCTCTTGCCTAATTGCTATAGCTAGTTCTTCCAATATATGTTAAATAGAAGTGGTGAGAGTGGGCATCCATGTCTTGTACCTGTTCTTAAAGGAAAAGCCTTCAGCATTTCTTCATTCAGGTTGATACTGGCAGTGGGTTTGTCATATATGGGTTATATTGTGTTGAGATACTTTCCTTCTATGCCTAATTTACTAAGAATCTTTATCATGAAGGGATGTTGAATTTTGCCAAGTGCTTTTTCTGTGTCTGTTGAGATAATCATATGGTTTTTGCTTTTGATTTTGTTGATGTGGTGTATTACATTTATTGATTTGCATATGTTGAACCATCCTTGCATCCTTGGGATGAATCCTACTTAATCATGATGTATAATCCTTTGGATGTGCTGCTGTATTCTATTTGCTAATATTTTATTGAGGATTTTTATGTCTCTGTTCATCAAAGATATTTATTGGCCTGTAGTTTTCTTTTTTTATTGTATCTTTGTCTGTTTTTGGTATCAGGGTGATGCTGGCCTCATAGAATGAGTTTGGGAGAGTGGCCTCTGTTTCAATTTTTTGGAATAGTTTGAAGAGAATTAGTATTAATTCCTCTTTAAGTGTTTTGTAGAATTCAGCAGTAAAGCCATGTGATCATGGGCTTTTCTTTGTTGGGAGACTGCTTATTACTGCTTTAATCTTATTGCTTGTTATTGGTCTGTTCAGGTTTTCTATTGCTTATTGGTTCAGTCTTGGTAGTTTGTACATTTCCATAAGTTTACCTATTTCCTCCAGATTTTCAAATTTTCAAAAATAGTTGTTCATAATAGTATCTAACGATTCTTTGCATTTCTGTGGTATCAGTTGTAAAGCCTCCTTTTTAATTTCTGATTTTGGTATTTGGGTGTTCTCTCTTCTTTTTTTAGTTAGTCTAGCTAATGGTTTGTCTATTTTTGTTTGTCTTCTCAAAAACCAGCTTTTTGTTTTGCTGATCTTTCGTATCATTTTTCTAGTCTCTATTTCATTTAGTTCTGCTTTGACCTTAATTATGTCTTTGTGTCTACTAATTTTGGGATTAGATTGTTCTTGTTTTTCTAGTCCTTTGAGTTGTAATGTTAGGTTGTTTATTTGAAGTCTTTCTTTTCTTTTGATGTAAGCATTTATTGCAATAAACTTCCCTCTTAGTATTGAGTTTACAGAATCCCATAGGTTTTTGGTATGATATGTCTTAAATTCATTAGTTTCAAGAAATTTTTTGATTTCCTGCTTAATTTCTTCCTTAACCCGTATGTGGTTCAGGAGCATGTTGTTTAATTTCCATGTATGTGTATATTTTCCAAAGTTTTGCTTGTTATTGATTTCTAGCTTTAATCCATCTATGTCTGAAGAGACACTGGAAATGATTTCGATTTTTAAAAATTTGTTGAGACTTGATTTGTGACCTAATGTGTGGCCTATCCTGGAAAATATCCCATGTGCTGATGAGAAGTATGTATATTCTGTAGTTTTGGATGAAATGTTCTGTAGATGTCTGCTAAGTCCAATTGATCTAAAGTGTAGTTTAAGGTCCTGTGTTTCTCTGTTAATTTGTTGCCGAGATTATCTAACCAATGTTGAGAGAGGAGTGTTGAAGACCCCAACTATTACTGTATTGGGGTCTACTGCCCTTTAGGTCTAATAGTGTTTGCTTTATAGATTTGGGTGCTCTGATGTTGGGTACACATATATTTATGGTTGTTATATCTTCTTGCTGAATAGATCCCTTTATCATTACATAATGACCTTTTTATCTTTTTATAATTTTTGGTTTAAAGTCTATTTTATCTGATATAAGAATAGGTACTCCTGCTCATTTTTGGTTTCTATTTGCATGGTAAATCTTTTTCCATCCCTTCACTATTTTCTGTGTGTCTTTATAGGTGAGGTGAATTTCTTGTAGGCAGCTTATACTTGGGTCTAGTTTTTAAAATCTATTTAGCCAGTCTACGTCTTTTGAGTGGGGAATTTAATCCATTTACATTTAGGGCTGTTTATTGAAAGGTACTCTTATTCCTGGCATTTTATTGATTTTTGTATGATTGTTTTAAATATCTTTTTTCCTTTATTTCCCTTTTATTGTTTGTCTTTGGTGTTTTTTGGTTTTTGAAGTGGTAAGATATAGTTTCTTTCTCTTGTTTGAATATCTGCTTTACCACGGGGTTTTGTTCTTTCTTGTGTATTTATGGTGGTGATTATTGCTTTTTGGATTCCAAATGTAGGACTCCCTTGAGGATTTCTTATGTGGCTGATCATATGGTGGTGAAGTTTTTGTTTGTCTGGGAAATACACTATTTCTCCTTCATTTCTGAAGGAAAGCCTTGCTGGGTATAGTATTCATGGCTAGCAGTATTTTTCTTTTAGTACTTTAAATATATCATCCTATTCTCTCCTGTCCTGTAAGGTTTCTGCTAAGTAATGTGGGTTAGTTTGATGGGGAATTCCTTATATGTGATTTGACACTTTTCTCTTGCTGTTTTTAGAATTCTCTCTTTGTCTGTACTTTTGACAGTTTGACAATGTATGTTGGCAAGGTTATTTTTGGGTTGAATCTGATTGAGGATATTCGAGCCTCTTAGATCTAGAAGTTAATATCTGCCCCAATACCTGGGAAGTTTTCCACTGTTATTTCATTGAATATGTTTTCAAAGCCTGTTCCTTTCTCTTCTCCTGCTGGAACACCCATTATTCAGACATTTGTATGCTTAAGGTTGTCTTATAGGTTTTCTTCATTTTAAAATTCTTTTCTTTTCTTTTTCTTTTTCTTTTTTTGTTTGTCTGTGTTTTTCCAAAAAGCCTATCTTTGAAGTCAGAAATTCTTTCTTCTGCTTCCTCTAGCCTGTTGCTTAAGCTCTCAGTTGTATTTTTTATTTCATTGAATGAATCCTTCAGTTTTAAGAGTTCTGCTATGTTCTTTTTTAAGGTATCTATCTTTTCATAAAGTTCCAGATCCTGGATTGTTTTTTTCATTTCATTGTGTCATCTATGAAGTTTCTTGTATCTCACTGAATTTCCTTAAGATTATTGCTTGAAGTTGCTTTTTGTACATTTCATATGTTTCTTGTTGGGTCTGGTACTGGAGAATTCCTTTTGGGGTGTTATGCTGTCTTATCATTTTAATATTTCTAGCATTCCTACATTGATGTCTGGGCATCTGGTGGAGCAGTTGCTTCTACTATTCAGGAGTGGCTTTTGAGGAGAGAGATTCCCTCCTGTAGCTGTGTTTTATATTGACTGTTGTGCAGGGTGTTTTAATTTTGGCTCTGGGTAGACATAGTAGTGTAGTCTCTGTGTGGTTACTTCAACTGTACCTGGTGTGGGAGTTGTCTGTGAATGTCTCCATGGCCTAGGCATGGGGGCACTCAGTACTTCCTTGCTGATGTAAGTGACACTGGGTTGGGTCATCGTGGTCATGAGTAAGATATTGAGCTCTTGGGAGAAGAGCCTGGATGTCCTGTCACTCCTTGTCTGAGGTGAGTGACCCTGAGCAGCCTTGCTTGCATCCCAACTAGTGTCTCATAACCTTGATAAGTGTTATGGGGTGATCTGAAGGTCCTCAGCTTAAATGGATGACCCTGGGTGACATTCTTAGGGTTTGGGATTAGGACCTTATGTACTGAGGAGGACGATAGGGTGCTCAACAGCCCCCCAGCTAGAGTGGGTGACTCAATAGTGTCACTACAGCTCTGGGAAAAGCCCAGTGCCCCCAGGAGAGGCACTGAAGTACTCTGTAGCTTCACTGTTGAAGTAGGTGACTCTGAGTGGGATCACTGGATTTGTGTGTGGACCTATTTCTGTGAAGAATGTCATTGGTATTTTGATAGGAATTGCATTGAATGTGTGGATTGCTTGGGGTAATATGAACATTTTAATGATGTTAATTCTTCCAACTCATGAATATGGGGTATCTTTCTATTTATTTGTGTCTCTTCAGTTTTTTTCACCAATGTTTTAGTTTTCATTGTAGAGGTCTTTCACCTCCTTGGTTAAATTTACTCCTGGGAATTTCATTTTTTTTTTGGTAGCTATTGTGAATAAGATTACTTTCTTGATTTCTTCTTCAGCTATTTCATTGTTGGCATATAGGAAGGCTTCTGATTTTCATGTGTTGACTTTGTACCCTGTTACTATACTGAATTCATTTATTAGTCCTAGTAATTTTTTGATGGAGTCTTTAGGGTTTTCTATGTATATAATCACAGATGGCACTAATTTTTAGAGAACAGTTTTTTGATGTTTGGGTGGATGACTGGGGAAAGACAATGCTGCCAGTAGTGTATGCTCTGTGTATACAGAGAAATAGAAAAATACTGAAGAAGGGTCCAAGTGATCTAGCTGTTCCAAATGCAGCTCTTCAATTAATAGCTATGAAGTTTTCCTCATGATCTGATTCTCCTTGTATATGCTGACTGAATTTATTGCTTCTCAGGCCTACCTGATTTTTTATGTTTAAGGCTATGGTTTTCCTAATTGGGGTTTTTAACTAAATCAATCCCATCTTCTTTTATATATTCTGTTTTTTTCTTAAGCTTTTTGGGTCCTGATGTCTCACCTTATTGATTTCCAATATTGCCATCGGTTCTCTCTTTTTGAAATAATATTTTCTGTTAATGTACTGAAACCTTGGGAGTTTGGAGAGTAGACCCAAATGTTTAGTTTACTATCCTGAAGCTCCTGTATTGATTTGTTTTGTTGTTTTTTCTACCTTCCTAAGATGAATGCCTAGAGTATTTCCCCTCAATATCACTTTAATGAAGTTTTTATTTACAAAAGTATTATATCTTCAGGTAATCAATAATAGAGTTAAACAGAGTAAAATTTAATAGTGTCCACCTTCCACTTGAGTTACTCCCTTGAGAAAACAATGTTAGCATTATGAAACCATTCACATTTCATGCTTATATTAGATGGGAGCTTTTGTTTGCTCTCTTTTTCACAAAAATGAAATCATATTTTTCTACTACTTGTTCTTTCACTTCCTTCTCATGAGTTTCACTTATTTTTTTTTTATTTTCTAAATTCTTGAAAACAATGAACTTTCAAATGTTAGAATTTAAACTGTTTTAAGGGAGATTTGGGGAAATTTAAGCAAAGGAAACGAAATGGGCAAGAAAACAAGTGTGAAAGTATAAGATGTATTTTAAGAATTCAGAGTTAGACGCATTTGGTTAGAGGAGAGGAACTATATTGGGTAATATTGAGAAACTGGTAGATATAGTTCAGAGTTGGTGTGTGAGGGCAAAGAATAACAGCAGAAGTGGGAAGTCATTGAAGATTTAAGAATAGAGTCATGTTATTAACTGATTAATATTAATGAAACCTTAAAATAATCCAAAATATCTTTTATGAAAATGTTGTTTATTGAATTGTTATTTTAATTAACTTGATATAGGATAAACCCTCTACAGACTAAAAGAGGTAATGTATAGGAAAGTGGTTTGAAGTACTAAGTGTTCTAAAAAGAGATGGTGTTGAGTTTTCTCTGGTTGAGTTGGCAGTGTGGATGCATATTATGATGCTTCTACAGCCACCTAATTTCCCTCATGACTGTTTTAATTGTGTGGTGGAATGAGGAGTCGATGAAAACTTAGGACACCTAGGATTTAGGCTACTAATCATCTGGGTAACATGGGGCAAGGAACTTCAGCTTCAGATTCTTGTGTAAAGTAATATCTAGAACTGGATTATCTCTAAAATGTCTCCATTTCTAAAAATTCAATGGTTCTACGATTCTATAATTGTTCCTATACACTTTGATTTAGCACCAAGAGTTTCTTTAGTCAATTTAAATTATTCTTTTAAAAATAACAGGTTGATAATCATTGAAAATGCTATCTCAATATAATATTAGCTTCCATTTACTATCTAAAAGCATTTCATAGCCGCTTAAAATCAGATTACATTTGTTTGGAGACACTAGGGGGGTGGGTTCAAGATGGCTGATTAGAGGTCCCCAACTCTTACCTCTCATGCAAAGAAAGTCTAAAACAACAAGTGTATACTCACATGTTTAATAGAGTTTCTGGGAGAAAACACCAGAATTCAGCAAAAGGTTGAGAAACATCCTCCTGAGGTTCAGAAACTCAAGAAGGCAGCACTGAAAGATAAGTGAAGTGCCCCACCAACATCAGCACAGGGCCAGGAGAGACTCCTTGCTATGGGGGAAAGGTAAGCAAAGTCCAAGGTCCTGGCCACAGACCTAGCAATCCTGCCCAGGATCACCCACTACAGCTGTGGAGCTGCGGAGTACCCCAGTGCTTCTCCAAGGAGCCCAAAACTTCATCCACAACACCAGCAACACTGCCCAGTGTAACCTCTTCCAGCTGAGGAGCCACAGAACTCCACAGTGTCCCTTCTGGGACAAAGCTGCCAAGAATATAGAGTGGGAAAAGGACAGTCTCTTCAATAAACAGTGCTGGGTAAACTGGATAGCCACATGCAAAGATTTAAACTAGACCCCTACCTCTCACCGTACATAAACATCAACTCAAAATGGATTAAAGATCAAGATTTAGGAACCAAAACTATGATACCATTAGGAAAAAACATGGGGGAAATGCTACATGAAGTGGGAGTGGGTGGCACAGGCAACTAAAGCAAAAATACACAAATGGGATTACAACAAGACACAGCAAGAGATGCTATTAACAAAGTGAAGAGGCAACCTACAGAACGGGAGATAGTGTTTGCAAACTATACATCAGACAAAGAAATAATATTAGAATATATAAGGAACTCAAACAACTCAACTGCAGAAAAACAACCCAATTAAAAAATGGTCAAAGGACCTGAGCAGACATTTCTTAAAAGAAGACATACAAATGGCCAGCAAGCACATAAAAAAATGCTCAAAATCATCAGGGAAATGCAAATTAAAACCACAATGAGATATCATCTTACCCCAGTCAGAATGACTATTATCAACAAGACGGAAAATAACAAATGCTGGCAATGATGCAGAGAAAAGGGAACTCTCCTACATTGTTAGTGCTAATGTAAATAGGTACAGCCATTGTGGAAAACAGTATGGATGTTCCTCAGAGAACTAAAAATAGATTTAACTATGACCCAGCAATTTCACTACTGGGTATATACCCAAAGGAAATGAAATCCATATAATGAAAAGACTCTTGTACTCCCATATTCATCTCAACACTCTTCACAATAGCCAAGAGATGAAACCAACCTAAATGCCCATCAATGGATGAATGGATTTTAAAAACTGTGGTGTGCAATGGAATACTATTCAGCTACAAAAAGAAATGATTTTCTATCATTGGCGGCAATATGGATGGAACTGGAAACCATCACTTTAAGTGAAGTAAGTCAGGCACAGAAAGACAAATACCACATTATCTCACTCATATGTAGAATCTAAAAAAAAAAAAAAGTGCTTCTCATAAAACTAGAGTAGAATGATGGTTACCAAAGACCAGGAGTGGAGGGGAATTGGGGAGAAGAGAGTGTTGGACTAACAGGTACAAAACTATGCTATTTACCCTAAATGAATCATTGTGCAGTATATGCATGTATTGAAACACACTGAACCCCACAAAATGTACAGGTAAATGTAAATGTGGAATCTACATGGAACAAGGAGGAACACAACAATAAAAGGCTTTTAAAAAAAATCTAAACTAGGGAACAATTGAAAAAATAATAAAAGTTAAATGGCATAAATGGAAAAACAAACAGAAAACATGCCATCTGCCTCGGTGGAGATCTTTTATGAGTTTTGGGCCTTGATAGAGAAGCAGAGTAGAGCTTGTTGAAACTCACACTTCCACATCAGATAATAGAAGGGGGATTAAAAGAAAGGAAAGGAAGTTGCATCCATGAGAGAAAGACACCGGTTCTTTAGAAATGTAAGGTTCCCAGCCATCCTTTCTGTTCTCTTCTGTCCCCACACACTCTCCAGGGAAGTCTGCATGTCACTTACACAGAGCATGATTAAACAATCAGTATATTCCTCCATTCACAAATATAGTCATGAGCTGCATTATGACATTTCTGTAAACAATGGACCGCATATATGATGGTGGTGCCCTAAGATTATAATGGCTATAGTATCTGGGTTTGTGTAAGTACACTCTATGTTTGCACAATGACGAAATTGCCTAATTACACATTTTTCAGAGTGTATCTCCTCCTTTAAGTGACTCATGACTGTATAAAATGGATGAATAAAGTTCACCAGATCACATATCACATATGTGATAGAGATTGATAGTTGCTTTCCCAAAATATATTCTTATAAGAACCTCAATTTTTTAGGAGCCTATATGTCCCCAGCTGAAGGAGCTACATCTTCTGGCCTCCTTTGCAGACAGGAATGTCCATGTGACAAGATTCTTGCCAGCTATATATAATTGGAAGTTGTTGGGAGAAGCTTCTGAGAGTGTACCTTATGACAGAGGCAGGTACCTAAATGACCTTTGTCCTTTTCTTTCTTCCTGCCTGGAATACATTGTGATATGTGGAGATACAGAGTGCATCTGGTGTTACCCTACAGTAACATGCAATGTTGAGGATAGCTAATCAAAAAGAAAGGGAATCTGGGTTTCTGATGACATCATGAAACGACTACATCGCTATTTAAGCTACTGTTTCTAAGATTTTGTTACTCACAGCTAAACATAATTCTTAACTGATCCAACAACTTCCAAATATACCAAGTTTATTCTTTCACAATGAAATGAAACTAGAAATCAGTAATAGAAAAAAAAAACTGGAAAATTCACAAATATGTGGAAATTTAAAAAATTTTAAACGAATGGGTCATAGAAGAAGTCACAAGGGAAATTAGAAAATACTTTAAGACAAATGAAAATGAAAACACAACATACCCAAACTTAAGGGATGCAGTAAAATGAGTGTTAGAGAGAAATGTATGGCTATAAGCATTTACATTAAAAAACAAAAGATATCAAATCAATAACCTAACTTTATACCTTAAAGAACTACAATAAGAAGAGCAAACCAAACCTAAAGCTAGCAGAAGAAAGGAAATAATAAAGATTAGAGTGAAAGTAAAAAAAATAGAGAATTGAAAGACAATAGAGAATATCAACATAACCAAAAATTGGTTATTTGGAAAGATCAACAAAATTAACAAACCTTTAGTTAGATTGACTAAGAAAAAAAGAAATACTCAAATTACTAAAATAATAAATGGAAGTGGGATATTACTACTGATTTTACAGAAATAAAAAGGACTATAAGAGAGTACTATGAACATCTATACACCAACAATTTGGATAAGTTATATGAAATAGACAAATCCCTCAAAAGAGCCAAACTACTGAAACTGACTCAAGGAGAAACAGACAATCTGAATAGACTTATAACAAGTGAAGAGACTGAATTTAAAAATAAAAAACTAGCTCCTCTGGACCTCAGATGATCTACTCTATCTCTTCACCCAGAATCTCTTGATTCAGTTATCTGTGGGCTTGTTGTCCCCTTGTAACTTTATGACCAGTTCCTAGTGCTTTTTCTGTCTGCATTCCAAGTTATGTGAGATAGAGACAAGCAAGTCAGTTCTTCAGGTATTCCCTAGCCAGGTAAGAACAGACA